GAGGTATTGGGGAGAGGGGCTGGCAACCTAACCTCTCGTAGCATCGTGGCTCGCCATTTTAATGGTATCCTCGGCGCGCGAGCCGCGAACGTCTCTATTAAAAAGTGTTTTATCTTGATTTATTCCCGCCTAGAGAAATTGCGAGAGATTACGGTGGAGAAGAGAGTTGAACCGAACGCGGAAGAAGGTGGAATGGAGCGATGGAGGTAAGGGGCGAGTAACGTGTAACGAATAATTTTATTATGCCGCTGATAAAGGCGGGCCCGTCTCGAAGAATCGGGTTATCAGAAGAGAAATAACACGTCTTCCCTCTCTGGATATTAAATTTCTAATGGGATTCGTTTTGCTTTTTTATGTTATATACGTTCAATTACCGTGTTATTTATATCAGCAGCAACCGCATTGCGTTCGAGCAAAGCGTTGACGGATTCGAAACTTCGACATTTTAAACTAAGTGAGAATAAGTTGGAAATTCTGAGAAACGCATCAAATGTGTGTTTTTAAATTGATTATTTTATTCATTCTTCGAGTAATTATGATAAGAGAAGAGAAGAACCAAACTTTAATCCCAATAATTGTTATGTATTGAGATATCTTTCGTGCACGTTTTACGACGATGATAATTAATTTATCATCCCCTATCATTCAGCCCTGCTCTCCGTTAATTAAAAGATTCGTGTGATTAAGCTGAAAGCCACACATGTGATTCATCCTGAGTTTCCGAACATGCACGACGCTATAATCCTCGAAATTCCTCCTCGACTTCGATTCGATCCATTTACAAACATAAACCTAGAAAAATCGAGAATAAATTTTGAATCGAATCAGGAAGAAATGAACGAGATTGCGCTTCCGTCGGCCCCTTTCCTGGACAGGTTGACGATTCACCATGGTCACCGTGGCGAAACACCGTGTCTCGATTCGATCCTCTTCCTCCTCCTCGATTCTTTATTTCAGATAACAGGCCACGGAGAGTCGAGAGAAAAACGAAAACGATGTCATTTTTCTTGCGCGCAACCTTTTTCCAATATGTACGATGGCGCATAACGCTTTTTTTTTTTTGCAGGAGAAACGCATTATCCATGGCCTACTACCGCTTCCTCCAACACGTTTTTCGGGCGCAGGACGTGATAGTTTATCGAGTTTTTCCTAGCGTGCCCTCTCTTTCTATACGGAATCAGCAAAAACACCCCTCTGGATCCATAATTCATACACCCTCCACCGCCCTTAAACGTTAAATCCACGATTTCCAGTGGTATCGGTCTGTTGCACTTTGAAAATGGGGTGTAATCACGGGGTGTAATAATGGAAACTTGGAATTCGTAATCTCCTCGTGCCCGTTGTTGCAATTACAATTTTTTCGATCGATCTAACCGTGATCTTTTTTTTTTTTTTCTAGACCACACTTTATCGAGCCGCCCTCTTCGAGCTCTCCCCTTTCGGAAAAATAAGGGGATTAAATCAGTTGCGTCGGCAATTTTCCCACTGACAGCCGTAATAAGTCGTTGGTTCCGGAACAATACGATTTCTGCTGGAAAATTGGTTCGCGTGTTTATTTCGTGGCCGAGCTAGTGACTGGTGTAAAGGAGAGCGTGACTGTTATTTTTCGCGGTCGAAGGGTTCAAGAGTTACTCGAGCCGTTTGGCAGTTTGCCTGCCTTTCCCCGTAAGTTAAGTAAAGTTTAGATTTCTCACGATTGAACGATGGATCTTCCGTGAAACGTTTAAAACGTGTGGAACAATGCCGGTAAACCGAGAATTTATATTTATATTTGTTTTAGGTTCACATTTGCCTCGTGTAATTCCACCTGTGCCCATTTTCTATCGGATTTTCTTATCTCGATACTTTCTCTACATTTCCTATCAGTTTAAGCTCCCGTAAAGAACGATAATTCGTGGAATTACTACAAGAGGTAAGTGGATCGTTTCTGGCCTTAGATTACATTGAGTTTCGTCGAGAGGAATAACTAACGGACACTTAGCTCTGTCGCTGTCTTTCGACATCGAGATATCGACAGCAACGTCCTTTTTCGATAGAATCGATAGAATCTAGATGGAATCGCTTGTCTTTGAAACGGATCAAATGGATCGTGAATAGATTTGAATACTTTATAAAATATTTTGGAAAAGAGACTAGACTCGAATATTACAATTCAACGAAATCGATTCTATTTCGATATTATTGAAAATAATTCTTCCATAATGAAACAAAATTATACAGTTATACACGCGTTTCCTAAATCTATCTTGTTCTAAACGAACGTTCAACGAAGTAAAAAGGAATCGTTCTTCTAATATCGAAGATATACGTATAAATGAATCTTAAAAAAATTTTGCAAATACTCGTACTTTCCTGAATTTTTAAACCAGCTCTTTTTGCAGAATGCAACTTTTTCCAAATGCAAGAATCCTAACAGGAAACGAATCTTGTTGGTTAAATTTCATTTAGATTTGGATCCACCGGTGCGAAGAAACGTGCACGCGTTAGAATTTCTCCTTTCAAAATCCGTGCAAGTACTCGTTTCTTGCACGGGGCTACGGAAATAACGAGGTGATCGTTATTCTCGTTTCGAATTCAATCGAACTCCATAAAGCGGATTGAATTTAACAGTGTGCCGAGCTATTTTGAAACCAGCACGAAAAGAACGAAGAGAGAGACGTCATATAAGAGAGATATTTCCACCGATCCTCGCCAGTTTTGTAACTGTTGCTTCCACCAACGAACGAAAACGTTCAAGCCCCGCGTTGGAACGAAATGTTGGCAGTTTGCCCCGAGTTTGGTCCTGCCCCTCACGGTCAATATTTTGGGCAGGTCCGGTTGTCGCGGGCATTGCCGCCTTTCCTGGTACGCGGCAGCAGGTAGAAAACCGTAGAAACGCTCAATTGACCCCGGAGGATTCCCTTGTGTGCGCTTTCCTCCTCGTAGAGGCAGTCTTTGTGGAGGCGAGGATTGTGTTTGTCGACGTAGCCGGGGTGTCGAATCGCATCTAAACAGGAGATATCTTATTTCCGCGACGCCTCATTGGAGAATACGTCCTCCTCTTGTGTACGCTTTGTACGATCGCTATAAATTCCACGATAGAGATCCCTATCTTTATAGGGATCCCTGTTCTTGCGTCCCTTAACAAATAGATTTTCAGTTTTCGGAGACGAGGATCGGGTTTCTTTTAAACGTAAAGTGTTTGTCGAGCGTTTTCGATCTTGGATGGGTAAGACGTATAGATGAATATTCGATCTCTTCAGATCGGTGGATAAGTTGAAACTTATTTCGCGACTCTTCTTTCGTTTAATTTGGAAATCACGTTTTCGAGATAAATCTGATGGAATTTTCCAAGTATGATCGGATCTGTTGAGCGAGAAGGGACGGGTTTTTCAACGGGGTTGGACGAAATTCGACTCTTAACTCGTTTGCGATGCAAGATACGAGAAACTCGGTTGCGCCACTATCGGGAACGCGAGCAACTAAATTGTTACGTGGAACTGGACGGGAAACAGGGTTAGAGACAGGTTTCGATGGGATATCTCGGGCCACGATAAAGGTTTATCTGCGTTTTATTCAGTCGATGTCGTGAAAAATGAATTACTTTAGATTGATGCACGGCACACGATCGCATGTTTAGATTAGAACGTCGAAACGACCCGATCTTGCACAATAATTTACAAGTAAATTTTTACGCGTGATATTTCGTAATACCGTGATTGTACGTAATGAACGTAATTCCGTAAAATTTAGATAAAATAATGCATAATAATACAACTTGCCTTTCGTGTAATTTATTACAAATTTAATACTATTACACTAATTACTATCGGTATTATCAATTATTGATATTAATATATTAATATTCTTAATATTATTATTGCACGTACAAATCCCAAATATTCTAATTTAATTGATAGTACATATTGACAATAAAATTAATAATCGATACTCGTGATTTGGCTAATTTTGTTAGATTTAAAATCTGCATCGCATCGTGGAATATCGCACAATTATCAATAATTTAACAATTTGGATTACCAATTATAAAATTAATACATGCGCTTAAGAATATCACATATCTGCATAGATATATCTCTACCGTTAAAATAAGAAATCTCCATTCAATCGATACGTATCATCGCATCAAAGTTTAACTGATTGGTAATATTAACGTTCACAGATATTAACAAAAAAATATTGCGTGCTGGTTATAGATGGAGAAATGGCGCCTATCTATCCATGGACAGATCTATCTCCCTTCCGGGAACGCGTAATACCGCGGACAAACACTGGACGAACGCAGATTCGGCACTCGTCGAAATAATCTTGGTCCGGAGGCAAGGGGCAAGGGACGGCCACGAATAGGAAACAGTCGTCGCGGTCGCTGGTTTGTCTTGTGTTTGGATAATACACACAGATAGTCGGATAATTCACTTGTCTCGTCGAAAATGAAATTACGACGGTGGTGGCACAAGCATGCAAAACCCAGACAGTTGGCGAAATGGTGGCCGCGGAGGCAATGCATAAAAGCAGTACACCGTGTATTATTTTACATTTCCCAGAGGGTTTTCCTATGGGGATTCAAAAGAGGAGAGTATCGTGGCCCGCGCGCCACCACCCTCAATAATTCTCGCCGAGCTCATTCGGGGCAAACTTTCCACCCTTAGAAATTCATATCCGATAAAATCATTCTCCCCCGCTACATTATTCTCGTAAATAAAAGCGCGATGGTTAAAATTGGAATCGAATTTTCGCGACGAGGCTAATTCGTTCGAGTCAAAGTGTTTCGCGATTCACGGGAGCATTCGTGCAACATCGTAATATCGTACCTCCACCTCCTCCCTAGTTAAAATTTTGCACACGCTGAAACTTTTGTACACTCGCGTTCTTGGAAAATTGAAATTTTCCATTTTTTTTCTTTGCTGGAAGAAACAATCTGAATGATTCTATATCTATCCACAGATCTTGAAAAATAAAAACGATCAAACGAAATAATTAATTTTTCAAACGACATAAAGTCGAGTAAATGTTGATCTGTTGAACAAGAAATAAAATAAAATGAAATCAGTCGAAAGTTTTAATAGCGATATTCGATCGATAAGCGGAGATAATAAACAGTGCATTTAAGTCAATCGTATAATAACGCGATAACTGTAGTGCTCGCGGGATGTGATCGATGCGATCTCCCATTTCTGGCGATCACGATGACTCGGCGGGGCTTGGATCGCTTGTATAAAAGTCGACCGTGTCAAATCCACGATTTACCCTCTGTGGAACTGCAAACTCCCGAACGTAATAAATGATCCCTCCTCCTCACCTCGAACCGGTTCGGTTCCGTTACGGTCGCACAGAGAGTGGGGAGGGTTTGGAATAAATTAAGCATTCCGCGGAGGGTGGGCAGCCTCGTTCCTGAGAAGAAGTCGGTTTAGTTTTAAGGAAAGTGGCCGAACGATGGACTGCCTACCTCCTGGGACGCTGGAACAAAAGGTCCAAGGCAAAACCGAACTGCTTTCGAGAGAGAAAGAAAAAAAAGAATGAAAAGAAACGTAACGAACCGAGAGAAGGATGAACAAGAGGATCGCACGGCGAACGTGCGCGATAATAAATCACTTCCCAGTGGATCTTGAGGGAAATTCGGCGAGATCTCATCCATTAGAATTAGAAAGATCTTGAGAAGAGAAATGAACAGAGAACGTGTGGCCAAATGGTGGACGTTTTATTTATGTTTACTATGTTTTACTTTGGTAAAAATTGTCGAGGTCGACGCTTATTACGACGCACGTGAATGAAAACGACACTTTAACGTTGGATCCATAGCTTAAAAATCCTCCCTGTAGAATATTTACCTCCGAGCACCCCTCTCTCTTCATCTCTTCACCCTTATTCGTTCATACCCTTCATGCTCTGCCGTCGTTTTGATAATCCGGGAATAGAAATACGAGTGGTTTCACCCTGACATCCAGGGGGTATAAATTGAGGTAGCGGGCGCGAGGCCGATTATACGATAGGGGAGGGAGGAAAATTGATAAAGTCGTTCGAGTGCAGTGGTTTGAAGCATGGATTTTCGTCTCGCTAACTGTCGCTTAGAATCGAGAGTGTGGAGAGTTGAGATTTGCTTTTCGTTTAATATTTCAATAGGTGGTTTCACGAGGAGGAGGAAGAAGAGGATAATCGAGGGTGTCGATTATTCGATAGGAAAAGTTCGCTCTCAAAAAGTTCCCTTATGAAAAATAAATTATATATTCGAGAGCAATCGTCGAGAATTTATCGAGAGTATCCTCGCGCCAAGATCTTTTTTTTTTGCGTAAAAATTTGCAGGAGTTTGGTTATACAAAGAATAAAGTAATCGTAGACAACGATGGACGTCAAACGTATATATACGTTTATGTTCGAGTATATGCACATATAAAAAGAAGAGAGAGAGAGAGAGGATGCATTCGAGAATGTGTGCAAATTTAGCATTTGTCAAGCGATGAATGAAACATTGAATTTCTTGTTACGTGAATCGCGTGGGATGGGAGGGGGATGGAGTATCGAGCGAGCTCTTGGAGCATAGATTACCTCCTCCTCGTATTGTAGCCGCAACGCGAGCATCGACGTTATTGGGTGCCATAAACTCATGCATAATGATATGAAACACTCGGACCGAAATGAATATTCTCAACAGGTTTACGCATATTTAGCGAATATTCGGAGCGTCATGAAATATGTAGCGTATTTGCATCGTTGTGCCGGCCGATCATCCTGGCCAGCGTGTAAACCGCTGACAAATTCACATCGGGACACATTACGGCCGTATTATCAACGAATACTGGCCACGATAAATTTCTAGGACGTCCGTTTGAAATATCAGAAATCGAACTTAGTTAGTTAAGCTGATAATCTTGGAATCGATCACTCTTCCATTCCAAAATGAAACAAAAGGATTGCACTATGTTCAAAGAAATTCGAATCGAACTATTAGCTCGTTGTTCGAAAACTGGATTGTTACTATTCTGAATTTCTGGTATTAAAAAAAAAAAAACGTAGTCAAGTCAACAACGGTTTCAAAAGGGAACAGAAAATTTCCAAATACGTATTGATACTCTTAATCGAGTTAACAAGGATCGACTATTCTTATCCAAAATGCATAACTCCTTCTCCCCTGTTGGAGTACCATAGAATATGGAGTATCGTGTAGAGAGAGGGTGGGGACGAAAGTACGATCGTGTTAACTCGATGCTTCGTCACCCTCGGCGGCGAGTTTCGAGTCAAGCCTGTGTCGAAATTTTGTTCAATGAGAGGAGTACACGCGGGTTTAATTTGTAGTACAGTGCGGCGTGTGGGCGGGTTGCTAGTCAAATTTATCGAAACGCGCGTTGTCCCGTCCCTGCCCCTTCCCTCTGGGGACCGAATTCTGGTGTTGCCAGGTTCGCCCTCGACAGAGTCGAATCAGCACGGCCGAAGGACCGTGGGTTTGTTAAGGAATATTCCGTGGCATCCATGGCTCCTTCTGCCCCGTTCTCTATATATATTTTGTAATTTAATTGCCGGCGGACAAGATGGGAACACCGGTTGAATCAATTTAAATTTCGCGGACCCGAGGGGACTTAAGGGGACCCGTTAAATTAATTTGTATTACGCGCCGCTCGAAGAAAGAGGTATGGCGGTTTATTCGGTCTCTGCTAGTAGCGGGGATTCGTCTTCTTCTTTGCTCCACCAGGATGTGTACCGGGCAGCGATATCTCGTGAAACGGAGAACTTGGTGAAATTGGTGTTTAACTTTGTTTTCTTAGCGATTAACTTCGGGTTCCCTGCGTTTGATACCGAATGGATACGGATTTTTTTAAGTTTCTACTTGTGCTCCGTTGAACGTGGAAGAAGAATTAATTAATCCTTGTGCTAATATCCGGGCGCGCAGCTAGCTTTTTATTGGCATGAAATTAAAAATTTCTTTCCGTTAAAAGAAATCTTCGCCTCTATCTTCCGACGCGTTTATTATTCCTAAACTTAGAGTCACGGAACAATGTCGAAAATGGTGTTCGTTTGATTGTTACAAACAAGAATTGATATATCGTTTTAAAAGTGTTTCGCAAGAAACACGCGATTTTAATTATGGTTTTTTTTAAAATTTTAATTGGAGTTGGCACGATAAAAAAAGGAAAAATATTATTACGCTTTAAAAATTCTTCCTCGAAACGAAGCTCGACGAAATTACTTACCATTTTAAATTTATTATCCACGGTTTAAAATTCGCAAGATTATTCGAATGTATATCGAATATAATTTTTGCAAGCCTTCCTAAAGAAAGGCTTATCGAGGATTCGTGGTAGAAGTACAAATTACAGTTCGATTAGCAAAGTGGTTCGGTTACGACCTCGGTTACTAGGCTGTCGTTTTAACAGGGGGGAGGGGAAAGAATTAAATTACATTAAGGATGGAATTCGGTCGGTCAGAGAGCGATCTATACATTTACGTAATTGACTTCGAAATGAAAATTTTCGCCGCTCGTATACCAGTCCAATTTATCGGAACGTTATCCCAGCGCCGTCCTAAGGGACATCGGTCCTGAAAACAGCTTCTCTGATAGAGTTGAATTGTGCGGTATGTTAGATACGAGCCTCCAGAGGAGCCGGCTAGATTGTTATAAAACACGTCGGGAGAACTTGAAGTATCAGACTGAAATAAGGTTGGAAAGCTTTATTGTTTGTCCTGAGAAAGACATTTCCCTCTGAATATCGAAGGTATATCGGTATGCGTTTTGTTCAGCGATGGTTACAAGATCGTTAAAACTTATACTTGTCTTATCTTATCTTATTATCCGCAAATATTTGAGATATATCGCGTATAAAGCGCCTATTAAATTTTATTAGTTTGCAAAATGGTCTACGTATAGAGCATATATATGTATATATATAAAGAGAGAGAGAGAGAGACAAGGGTAGTCGAGACGTATCAGTTATCGAAACAGGGCTATTATTTGCGTTTGACCTAAATGCTGAGTCAAGTTTTGCGTGAGCTTGCGAAGGAATAAGGGTCGCTGAATCAGACCCACGTGTCCACACGACTCGTTTAACGTTTTCTTATCAATCGTCTCGAACTACCGCGTGTGCAAATTTTAAAACGCGCTGTGAAAGATCTCGCTGACGACGATGCACCGCCGAAACCCTATTAAGAATATCCTATCGAGCATTTCGAGATTGCACAAGAAATTTTTATCGTTCTCCCCGTTCTTCCTATCGTTACGAATATATAGACAAATTTAAACTCGATTCCATTGATTTTGGAAGAGCAGGTACGATGTTTTTTTTTTTTTTAAATTTATTATTAACGTTAGATACGTTCGCAGATGCTCGAATATTAAATATATATAAATTTTTGAAAAATATTAAATCCTGAGGAGAGGAAATTTAAATTTTAATTGAAAAGAGCGGGATCACGGGAAGGTGTGTTTCGTTTTGCGCACAGTTGCACATCGAAAATCAACATTATAGAGGAGAATTAATGCTCGCCTCGCTACCTGTAATTTCTCTAATACACGGTTTACATGACACGGCTGGATTGTTCGTAATAGTCGAACACGAAGGGTCGTGAGAGATTATTCAAATCCCAAACTGAACCGTCTCTCAACTATATTCAAGAACTTGTTCCACCGTTCCTTCCCCACTTGTCTTACGCTTGTTGTACATTCGTAAAGTCGAACTTCGTTCCACGTAACGAGGTTCTGGTCGACTTCTATCCTACGACGATACGAAAGTACCTTCGTTTCGAACGAGTGAATCAAAATTTTTCGAATACAAATGAAATTCCCTCTCCCCCTGATTGAATACGAATAAACTAATACGATAGATGACTATTTTACGTGCGAAAGTAGAAGGAAAGATATAGAATTATAAATCCTTTTCTTTCACACGTTCGATCTAAGGAAACGGTCAATTTCGATTTACCTTTTTCACGTGGAATCGCGCTACGTGCACCTATTACGCCAATTACGCGACACTTTATATTCAAACGAGAAATATGTAAAAATACGGATCGCATATTTTCAGACATAAATCGCGGAATTACGTCACGGTGTTTCGCTATTTTTATTTATCACCCGCGGCATTAACTTTTACGCGAAATCGATAGTCCGTTTGTTCCTTGCGTCGATTCTGAGAAGGAAGGAAGGAAGAGAGAGAGAAAGAGAGAAACGAAAAATTTAATACGTTATTGGTGGCGAAGAGATTTATCGAAACGCGCCGTTACTTCTCTCCCCCGGGAATAAATTCCACGCTGCACGCTCCTTTACCAGACAGAGTCGAATTGGTGGATGGGATGGAGCGGAGGGGTTGCTAAAGGTTGCGTCAGAGCTGTAGCATTTGCATGAAAGACTCCTCGCGAGCGTGCACATACTTTTCTTTCGCTTATTATTAAAATAAATGGACTTCCAAATGAGACACGTTATCAGCGTAAATTTTACTTGTAAAATCTAAAAATCTAAATCGCGAGCGCGGAATCTCGAAACGGCGGCAACGTGCCTCGCATCTGCGATTCTGAAATCTCTCGTTACTACGAGGTGAAATTAAATAACAGCGCCGGCGTACACGCGGAGGAGGGAGAAAAAGAAGAAAGAAAGAAACAAAAAAATGGTCAAAGATGAATCTTCTCGGAACGATGTTAAAATAATAGAAAAGAAAAAGAAAAAAAAATCTTTCGACGTGACATAAATAAAAATCCGCAGAACGACTTGGAAATTCCAAATTCCAAATTCTTCACCACGATAAATTTTCAAATCAACCTTTGAAATCTCAACGATAAAACTTAAACGACCAAATTCACCCGTAAAAAAAAAATATTTTACCCCCTCATTTACAACAATTTTTCTCCCCGAAGAAAGAAACTATCGACTCACGGTTTTTCTCCCGGTTTTTCAATCGGCCCTCCCCTCCCCCAAGTTCATATTGATATATATATATATATATAGGTGCGACTCGATATCAATCCTCTCTCTCTCCTCCCCCCCCCCTTCGAAGGCAGTGGGGTGCGGACGTACACGCACGTACACGTAGGACAATCATAACAAGCGGCTTGTCGATGCGAAGGGCGGAGAGAACAGCAGCCACGGTATCGTCGTGCCAGGGGTAAAGTAGATGAAACACCGGCGGGCTTAAGTTCACCCTCCTGGCGCCCAATGAAAGAAGCGCTGTGGGGATGGATCCCCGGCTGGGATACGCAACGATCACATCGGTTGCTCCGCTGGAATTCGCCACGGAGCGGAGCCGGATTCAGCGAGCGTCGCGAATCGTTTCTATAAATTATCCTTGCTAAAACGACACCCGGCATTCGCAATTATTTAAATGTACCGGATAACGACGAGCCAGGACGAGCGAGTCCCTCCACGACACGGTTCGAGGGAGATGACGGAGGCCCGATCCTGATTATTTTAATGCTGGAGAGGAGGAGAGGTGTGGTAAGTAATAAGAACGATTCATGTAGTTTTCACCTATTCTCTTTTCTTTTTTTTTTTTTTATCAATCATCTGTTCATCACGATGATTGGTATTTCTTTGATTACATATTCGATGTACGATATTTTCTAGTTGTTGCATTTCGAAACGTAGAATTGAACATTCGTGTACAAGATTTAGATTCACGTTATAGCTATATATCATTAATTTTCTGGGTAAATTCGTGATCCTGTCCTGTCGGTAAAATTTTGTTTAACAATTTTATATCGGTTGATAACATCAGTTTTGAAGTTTCAGATATGAAATTGAAAAAAGATAGGATAGAGAAACAACTGGAAGGGAACGAAACAGAGGACATCGCGATTGAGCACAGGGCTCACATTGAACGAATTTGACAACTCAGATTTCGTTGGCCTTCCACTTTCGATTTACCGAATGGTACTTCCGGAATTGCTTCCCCGACAGAAATCTGGCATTTGCTTGATGGAGCAATTTATTGAAACGTTGTTCTTAGTTCGTCCCAAGGGGTGAGCGCTTCACTCTGCAGCAGCTTCCACGGGAAAGTTGAATGGCGCAGGGCAGACATAAAGGAGGTTTCTCGAGAAATATGCTGAGGCTGCTCCTAATGCCAGTATTTCCGAAATACACTGTACCGTTCTTCGTCCATTTTCGAGAAAGCCGGATGGAAATTGTTTTCGAAAGTCTTCCTTTAATGTCGAATTCGTGGCAAAATATCGCCGGGGAAACGTTTTTTTTTTTCGAGTTGGACGCTCGCAATGCAACTCAATTGATATTATCGAATTCTAGAACAACACTGTTGTTCTAGAATTGTTATTAAAAAATACGAGAGAATATTTTTTTCCCGTTAAATCGGAATAACCCTCGATGATATTCGAGTGAAAATTCAAAGGAATTTCTCACGATTTGAATGTTGAAAAACTTCTGGAATGGGACCTCGACTTGAATACCGAACGTTATCTAATTGTAAGTTAACCCGCAAGCGCCCGAGTCCGCAAGTGACTTGAAGGTACTGATGATAGCGAATCGCGCGCAAAGAAGAAAGTTCACAGATAGGTCCGGAACTTTAAGATGGTATTAAAAGATTCCAAAGTTTGTCCGTCAAAGCATCGGAATGTCCTCGATATCGAGGAACTTTTTAAAAGACGCTACTTTCCTTTTTTCCTCCGTAAGCCACCATTATTCAACCTTCAAGTAAATAGGCTGCTCTCGATACATGCACATATTCCATTCATTTCTCGGCCTTTTTCTTCGAATTTATTGCTTCATCACAGTTTATTGTTACGTTATTCTAGCTTGGAAATAATGGGAAGAAAGGAACGGTTGCAAAACAGCGAAAAATGTTAGGCGATGCATTTGCAGAATAATCGAGAGACAACTGTCATCGATCATCTCGAGGCTAAAAGAGCATACACCCCATACAACGTGCTGCAACGTGGTCAAAAGACCTGATCTTCGACTTTGAATACATAGTGCACGCATTCCGAGTCACACTGAAGGCCATGATTGTTTGACGTTGGAGTTCTGGAATTCCTACTGGAGATTAAACTTGGGGCCCTCGGCTTGGGTCCAAAGCGAGACTTATAACACCATCGTGGCACGTGTCGAATTCCTCAACTCTGTGGTCTGGAGTATCACTGTCCTCTCGAACACCGGCGGTGGTTCGCGGTTTCCAGGCTTTTACAACTTTAACATCTTGGTCCAAAGATTTTATTGTTTTATTATCACCTTTTTTTGTTATTTTCTTTTTGCTTTCTGTTCCGTTTGCTTTCATTTTATTATAAAGTACGTTTATATCGTTTTTCAGTTTGATAACGTGAAAGATTAAATCGATTCATTTTTTTGAATACAGATAACGATAATTGATTCGAGAACGATAACGTCGACGAAGAAAAGAATGAACGATCGGAGAGAATCGATTTGGAATCTCTGTCTTAGTTAATTCAATTGTTGAATTACACTGATGAATTTTAGGTATACCGTATCTCGATCAGATGATTTCTTCACCAATTACTTGTACGAATGTTATCTTTCTAGCGTGGACTATAGAGCACGGGTATAAATCATATCTCTAACTACCCTATGGAAGAGTGACGCGGTGTTATCAGAATAGGGGATCTCGGTTGGTGAATTCGCGTATATACACACACATATATATATATAATATATATGCA